CTGCACTAGGAAGCTCTTCCCTCTCATCTCCTGGGTGACCCTGTGCTCTCAAATTCCCCTCGTTCATCTCTTCAGTATCTACTTTGATGGGTCTATCTTACCAGTATTACAGGATTAGTCTAATCATTTTTCCAAACTAAACCGCAAACCCTCTTCCAACTTTTCACCCTCAACTTGTCTAAATTTTCCACATTTGAGGACACTTCTGATCAAACCCCAGATCACCAGTGAAAATGCTTTTCTTGAAGTTGTTAATTATCTCCACTTAACAAAGCCCATGGACCCTTTCCAGTCCTTACCTTAATGACTTTTTAGCACCACTTGATCGTAGTGACCATGCCCTTCCCTTGGAAGCATCCTGGCTTCAGAGACAGAACATTCCCCTCCTTCATCTCTCTGGAGTCTCCTTGGTCATCTTGCTGACCCTCTTCCTTTCTCCTGATTTTCTCAAAACTTTTCCAGTAACCTCTTCTCTTCTCATTCATTTTTTCTCTGCAGCCTTCTTTTCTATTACTGTGCTTTCAATTACCATCAACTTGAATTTATAAATCCTCTTTTTCAGTTACATATCCTCAAATGCCCACTTCACATTTACACTGTTTCACAAGCTCATCAAATACAACCAGGCCCAAATTGAGTCATTAGCTTTCTACTCTTTCTACCTGTGTCTCCTCAAATGTTTCCTAACTAAAATCAGTCCCCTGTCCTTCCCTGGGGCTATTATCCTAATGCAGATCTCCTCTTACCCATTCTGCCCATAAAACTTTCAAGGAATCTTTTGGCTTCTTTTATTGCCCTCTTACAATTGATTTTATTATCATAGCCAGATTGAGTTTTTAAAAATAAAACATGAGTCCAATGACATTTTCCCCTTCAGTGGTTTCCCTTTTTAGCACTGTCAGAGACGTTTCTGTTTGTCACACAGTTGGGGAGGGATTGCTACTGCAGTGTTGGGTGTCCAGGCCAGAGATGCTATGATGCCACCAAACATTCTACAATCCCTAGGACACTCCCACAGCAGAACTATCAGACCAGGATGTCCACCTCACTGGAGCAGCGCAGCCCTGACTTGTGCTGTTCCATCTGTCCAAACCCCTCATCCTCCCGCCCTCCTCCTCCTCGGTGTAATCCCACTTGCACTTGGTCTCTCCTTGAACATCATTTCCTGTGGGGAATGTGCTTAGCCCCAGATTCTGTTTACGCTGATAGCCTTTATTGTTTCTGACTACGCATTCAGGATGTTTCCTGCTATGCTACACCACCCTGCGGGCCAAGACCAAGTGAATCCATTACTTTGCCCTATACCCTTTTTTGTTTGTTTGCTTGTTTTCGTTTTTTAGTTTTGTTTATTTTATTAGTACAATTTAAATATACATAACGATCACATTCATTGAAGGGAATTTGTACCTGTACGTAGAATACCTTGATTCCTCTCTTTCTCCCAATCCCCTCTCCTTTCTCCCCTCCTTATTTACAGTTTTGTTTCTATTTTTTCTTTCGTCATTGTTTTCTTTTTCCTTCCTTCTCTTTCTCCTTCCCCCATACCCCTTCCCAGTTTCCCTTTTCTTTTGAACAATTTCTTCCTATTTCACATCGCCAATTAAACATTTTGGTCCTTATTTACCCTTTCAGTTTCTCACACCAGAGGAACAATGCAATATTCACATGTGCGCCCAATTTATTTCACTTAAAGAGTATAGTCTCAAGATACATCCATTTATCTACAAATGTCTCAAGTTTACCTTTCTTTATGGAAGAATAGTACCTCATTGTATAAAAACACCACATCTTCTTTATCCATTCATCAATTGATGGGCATTTGGGTTCTTTCTAAGATTTAGCTATTACAAACTGTGTTGCTATAAACATGCCCCATAGAACTAGCACAAAGAATCGACAACTGGGATCTCACCTTATTAAAAAGCTTCTTCACTGCAAGAGAAGCCACCAACAGAGCTAAGAGACAACCTACAATGTGGGAAAAAATTTTTAGCAGCTGTACCTCAGACAAAAGTCCACTATCTAGAATATATAAAGAATTGAAAAAATCAGATCCCCCAAATTCAAAGGCCCAATTCAAAAATGGGCATCTGAAATGAACAGACATTTCTCAGACAAAGGAGTGAAAGCAGCAAATAAGTATACGAAAAAATGTTCAACGTCACAGTCATTCGAGAGATGAAGATGAAAACAACACTGAGATTCCACCTTACTCCAGAAAGAATGGCTGCTATCAAGAAATCAACCAATAACAAATGCTGGCGGGGCTGTGGGGAAAGAGGAACCCTGCACGCCACTGCTGGTGGGAGTGCAGACCGGTCCAACCACTGTGGAAATCAATATGGAGATACCTCAAAGAACTAGGACTGGAAGTCCCATTTGACCCAGCTATTCCCCTGCTGGGTATCTTCCCAAAAGAATTAAAAGAATCATACCACAGTGATATATGTGCACCCATGTTCATAGCAGCACAGTCTGTAATAGCTATAGCTTGGAAACAGCCCAAGTGCCCATCAACTGGGAACTGGATAAAGAAGATGTGGGGTTTTTTTTAATAAAATGGAGTACTACTCAGCCATAAAGGATGATAAACTAGAGACATTTATAGCTAAATGGATGCATAGAGGCCATCCTCTTAAGTGAAATAAATAGAAGACACATGTGTAAATACCAAATAGTTTCTCTAGTGTGAGAAACTGAAAGTGTAAATAAGGATTAAAATGATTAAAATGAATAATGGATAATTTGAAATAGGAAGAAAAGGTCCAAAGGTGTAGGGGTGGTGGGAGGGGAAAGGGAAAGGAAAAACTATGAGAAAAGAAAAAAATGGAAACAAAGTCTATGTAAATAGGGAAGGGAGGAGGGGGTGAAGGGCGCACAGGTAATGGGGAAAAAATAAGAACCAAGATACATCATGTACAGGTACAAGCACCCAAGGATAAATGTAAACGTATTGTTTACCTAAAATGTACCAATAAAAGAACTAAAATAAAAAAATGCCCCATACCCTTAATACTGTGTGTGTGATAGATAATATCTTGACTGTAGGTTTTTAAAAAATAGAACTTTACTCTGACTGACTTTACTCTTTGCCCAAGTTGTAAAACACAGCATTGGCACTTGTTCCCCTACCTCACAGTCATTAATGCTCAGATAACCTGAATGTGCTGCGTACATATGAATAGGTCTGCACTGTCTCCCGTGCTAAGCAACAGTGACGATTGGTCATGTGAAATACAAATAATCTTTCTAATTTAAACTTTGTTATGAAAATATGTTATTATCATTTTTAAAGATGTATTAAATTCTGAAGTGTTAGGAAGCCCTTAAATTGTGCTAATTTTTTTTTGTCTTTTTGCAGTGTCAGAATTTATTGGATAACAATGAATTCACAAGCTACATCACTTCATCAGCTTTCATCTACCACGCACTCCCGGTTTCACTTAGATATTGTGACCATGGCATCACAAGTTACTTTATTGCATTTCAGTCATAATTACCAATATCTTTGGCACTCAATTCACAACCTACACTTCCAACAATGATGCATAAATTACAGAAAGTCTGAGGGTGCTTAAAAGTGGCCAGCAGATTTAAAGAGATCACACCTAGGATCACTATAGGTGGCCAGATGAGGGTGAACAACCAGGTGGTAGCTGTCTATCCTGCAATAGTGGGGTTTAACCTCACCATGTCAAGAGTTCAGAGGCCAGGACCTGAAGCTGGCTCTCCAGTGGAGACAGTCTCCTGGGGCTGAGCTCTCCAATTGTGTCAATTCTTATAGTCATCACCATCAACACATATCGTTATTGCTTCACATGTTTGTAGGAAACACAGTATGTATACCTACCTAGAATATTTTAACTTTAACAGCTAAATCTCCTACCAAACTCACAGTACATACTTCTAAGGAGGAACGAGCAGACTTTGGTTCTATGAGGAAGCTTGCCGTCCCTGTTAACATGCTGGCCAACTGTCCCCGAGGGCCTCTGGCCCCATCACACAGGGAGAATGCCTGAGAGCAATTAAAAAATCTGTACTGGCCCAGCACTTAGTGAACCTGAGTGTATTTCTAAGTCAATATTTTTGCAGTTTCACGATTGTGTATCTAATAAAAAGCTATTATTCCATTGATAAAAGGAGTAATCTGGAGAAGTTTATTATGTAATTAGCCATTAACTATTAAAATACTGGAAAAATTGATTATTTCAGAGGCTTGGAGACTTTTACTATTTTTCTAAGATAACTTGCTTTGCATCATTTCGTCAAACTAATGGAGTATACTTTACCCTTTGGAGAAAATATAAACCTATATACATGCAATCAGGTCCAGATTTACCATGCAACACTCTGTCATGTGCCCTGTGCTGAGTGCCACCTCCTTTTAATGATTAGTTAAGTTGAGGATAATGAAAGCCTTATCATGTGCCTAATTAGCCATGCAGTCCCTAATGGTCATCTCAACTCATTTAGATAAAGTCAGTTTGCTGATCTGTTCCTTAAACAGGGGGTGGAAAGAGAGCCCAGGAAAAAAGTGTGTGTGTCTGTGTGTACACACAAAATAATGAAACAAACCATAGTATCACAGAGCATTGGGGCTTCCTTACAACTATTAATGTTTTTGTCCAAATAAGTATATTTCAAAAACTAATTTTTCTATATACTTAACTCAGACTTTTTATTTATATTCCTATGGAAACTTCTTGAATAATAGTCTTTTTTTTTTCATTCTCCTTAAATATTAGGTAAATATTAGGTGATATTAGGTAATTAGCTGAAAGCCATTCCTGGTTAACTGGAAATTGTTCAGTAGGTCCATGTAAAGATTCATCAGTGGCCTTGAATCTATGTTAGCTGTATTTGAAGTCCTCAGTTACTTAGCTGGACCTTAATAAATAACATTTATTTCTATGTTTGTCAACCGAGCTGATTAACACATATTGTTGAACATATAAGACAAATTATAGCAGATGTAAAATAGAGAAGAAAATAATGCTTACCTCGTTCTTCAGCTTGCTCCCAGAAAACCTTAAAAATTAGTATATTTTCCATTAGTTCAAAAAAGAAATCACAGTTATATCAATCAAAGAAATGAAGAGGACTTAAAAACATAGTAACTTCATATCATAATTAAAATTTTTTTCCAAAAAACCTAAACACCTTTTTCAGCTTTCTAAAGAAAAAGTCTCATAGGGGGAAGTAAAATGAAAAGTATTTAGGGAAATGAGGCAAGAGTTACAGCAAGCAAAGAACACAGAATATTAAGCACTTGTGTGTTCCAGCCTGCATTTCCATTTTATAGTGGGTAGTGGGTAGTAAGCTACTCCTATGTTCCTTGTAGTATCTGGATTTATTTTAGTATTACTCAGGTAATTAAACTTTCTTTTTCCACAAGATAGTTTACTTTTTAAAATAATTTCTTCTTTTAACAACTAAGGCTAATTATTGGTAAATCATACCATTAGGCAATCCCAGATGCAGTTATAATTATCCAGAGTTTCAACATTTTAAAAATAATGGTAGGGATCACTGATTTCATTGGTTTTCACACATTGATTAATAACTTCCTCCTGATAGTTAATGACAGCATGGAGCAATGTGCTCTTTTTCTATTTATGTTTTTCCTGTCACAAGGACCCAAAAAGGTCATTAGTGTCATTCATTGAGATAAGATTACATTCAAAGTATATGTGTGCAACTATTATTATAATAAACTCTTCATCTTGGTAAGGCAATAGTTAAACATTGTCTCTTAGAAAAAAAACATTTTTCCTGCCTCTATTTTATTGGATCCATCCTGAAAATCGACTCAGCCTTATGAGTACATACCACTTTAAAGGAAATTTTGTTTTTACAACTTCTCCTATTTATCTCTCTGGCATACTTAGCTCACCATTGATTTCTCATTATTACAAATGATACAATTTACCTATTACTACTGGACTGTGCAATTGTAAATGTGCACACAAAGTTGACATTAAGGTTGTATGATTAAAAGAAAAAATTTTAATAAGCAAAATCAGAAAGCCATTTCATTCAATAGATGCCATGCATATTTGAAGAAATGCAGAGGATTTGACTTGAATATGGTGTGAGGCCCTACCTTGTGAGGCCCTTCCCAGAATAAACGGAGTGGTAATACGCACTGCTCTCTTTGATGCCAATCCCATAGTAATGATACCTAGGGGAAGGACAGGAACCAGCTCTGTGTTAATGAGGGGATTTGAAGGAGAAACAGAGTCAGGTGTAACTAAAGTAAACACAGTGGGAACTACAGCCCCTTAGTGACATACCCACGAAGGCCCACCACCCCCTTGATTCCCTATTCTTTCCATCGGCCTTCATCCAAAATCAGAAGAGAAATGAAATCAGAGAGAACAATCAGATTGCCAATGGACTCCAGCCTGATTAAAACTCATTCTTGGCATCACCATCTGAATTTGGAGCGATTAAGCAGTGAAGGATCTGAGTTTCAAGACTCCTTTTCTGACCTTAAAAATAAAGCAAGAATTGGCCAAGTGCTTCCACCTCTAAACATTTCAAAATGGAAGTCTACACACCACATATGTAAATATTTAGAAAGTATAAATAAAGCCAACAAACTCCTAGGTAAGGTATCTTTGTCCTCTGTCATTGACAGTTTGCATCTGTCGGGATCTGGTAGGCAGATGCGAATGCAGAATGCTTAGACTCTGGGTCCCACGTGGGAGCATGGCAGTGGGTGAAAATCAGCCTCAGTCCCTCCTCAGCGACCCCCTTTGCTTACTGTGAGGGGGCTGCAAATCCAGGACCCAGCCCCGAGCCCATCACCCGCAAGGAGCTGTCTCCTGTGTACACCAGTAGACAGCGTGGCTTCCTGAGGACTGCCGAGGGACCACCCAACAGAGCTCAAAGAAGCAAGACGGGTCTGTTTGGATGGGGAGCTGCAGGGCCCAGGGACGCTCGAGGTGATGGGGTCTTTGAGTGGACACATTCGGCAGGCAATGGACTCTGTGTCCCAAAGGAGGGGCTGGGGCCAGGCCCTCAAAAGCAAGAGAGTCGGAGATGAATTCTCATCTGTCAGGTCCCAAAATCACCTCTATTGACTCAGGGGCAGTCTGAGGAATTTCTAAACTTTAAAAAATACACATATTATAACAAGAAATATTCTCAAAAATAGTTGTCATATTCGAGAAGTGACAACGTGGAGTGATCGAGGTAGATGAACGTATTTGTATTTGTGGCAGACTGAAAGAAGTTTTCAAGTTCTCAATTTTGGTAGAAGGATAATAATCTGTAAGTTGTGTCATAACTGCCTTGTTTTTAAAGAACAGAACGAAAGCTCCTATGTGTGTGAAGGAAAAGAACCTCCAAGGTATACTGAAACAGAGAGAAATGAATGAAATATGAAACTTACAAAAACTCTAACTACTCAATTGATTTATGTCTCTAGAAGGAAGCTTAAACAATAAAGACTATCCAAAGAGCTATGTCAACAGAAATAGATAAGGGAAACACTGAAAAACTAGAACAAATTAGCAGATTTAAATGATATTCAGTCAAGTATAGCAATAGGATTAGAATTAATGAGCATGAGAGTTTGCAGTATCTCATCCTGTTAGACTTTAGAGCTGAGAGACTAAACAAAATATCTATACAGAAAAAGGAGATAAAACAAGTGATGCCTGAGAACAAGAGGCTCTATTACAATGAGAAGATATTGCAATTTCATGTCCTTTTGCAAAGCTTGCTGTTTGTCTAGAGATTTTAAGTTTAAATAGCTACAAGTTAGCCCCTTGTTACAGCAATATATGTTAAGCATTGCTTTTAATTTGGTAAATTTTTTACTATAACTTCTCTCTTTTGTTTCTAATTCATTTTTCAATATGCAAATAATATCATGGTTAAGTCGTTTACTACTGAGAAAGAAATGTTGTTACCTCTATAGGAAGGGGATAAAAGTCACAAGTCAAAGGGGTGAGCTTGCGCTCAATAAACAGAATGCACACTGTGTCTGGCTCCTGTGCTAGCTGTCAGCACAACAGTGGACAAAGCAGACGTGGATGCCTAGTCAGGAACTCTCTGCCCTGAATGCCACCCTACCCCAGCTGGGCTGTGGAGCAGTGACCACAACCACCAGCACAGAGGTGGTTATTAAAACAGCGTGATGATCAAATTTCGAAAAATTATAACCTCCTGCAGGGCTCAATAAATATTGGCTAATATGGATTTGGGTTTTTTCTTATTTCTGACTTTTAAAGAAAGAACTTTTCATTACACAATTTATTTGCCCCTTAGTTTTATAAAATAACTGCTGTTTTCTCCCTCATTCCCACTTCCAGACATTAGGGCAGAATTCTTTACAAACAGAAGTATTTAATGCCTCTATCTGCATTCAGAGCCAAGATTTTATATTTACCGAAACCAGAATTCTTTTAAAGGAATGTGGATATTTTAATCATAGTTCAAATGCAAATGACACTGTGGGCCAGACCCAGGAAGGTGAACTGCAGCAATGCCTCCTCCGCTGACCCAGGGGGAGGAATCCAAGTTCGTCCCATCAGCACAGCCTAAGTGGAAACCATGGAAAGGGGAGATGGGACATCCTGGCTCCTGGAAGGGGGCATCCTCTTTTCTTCAGCATACTCAGTGCTCACTGTGTGCTGCATGGTGAGAATTCAAAGAAAGGCAGAGGAGAATCTCTGTTATACAGCAGTGGATGGACTTGTGGAGCAGAAAAGTGTGCATAGAGAGAGCTGCTGTCTGAATTAATATGTTGCACAATTGAAGCAGGTAACCGTAGATAATAATAGAAATAGTTGCCATTTATCAAGCAACTATTACACACAAAGGGTTTTATGTATGCATTTACAGCCTGCAAGTACCACTTGCAAAACAATGGTTCCAAACTTAATTTATTCAAAAAGGTTATGTAAAAAGCTATGGGTTTGAAGGCAAAATTCAAACCCACAGCTTCACAGAACTTTTTATTTCAAGACCATGTTACTTCCCAGTACAAGGTACAGAAGATACATTGTATCTAATTTTGTAACTCAAGATTGCTTCCAATTAGAAATTCTTCACTAAAATATGGTGTGAATGTGTTTGTACTGGTACACATACTCTCTTCCAGTTTCTCATAAGTCAAAGTAAGCATGGGGAACTGACACAAATCATTAAGACTTACATTATTTACCTGTGTGACTCATATCTGACCTACCATATAAAAACAAAACCTCCTTCTATAACGTAAGGTCCATATACAGGAAGTCAATACTATTTGTTGAATAACTGAATGAATAATGTGAGAAAGTAAAAAATAGCAATATATCATCAAGGAAACTATAAAAAAGAATTTGTCTATTAAGAGCATACTATTATATACTTATCATCAGCATAATTCAAAATTTGGTAGGGGTCACTCTTTTTTTTTTTTTTTGGTACCAGGGATCGAACTCGGGTCCTTGAGCTTGCGCAGCAGGCGGCAAAACTCTTTTATCTAACCTGATATAAGGAAATGTACCACATCCTTTAGCCTTACATCATTTACACCCTTGGAATTTACATTTACATGCTTGGTCTCCATAAGTAGCTTATGCTTTCTACCTTAGTGCTACTGCTTTGTTAAACCTCCACTGGCAATACCCTTCTGCTCTCATCCTTGTTTCCTGTCTGTACCTTGAGGATGACTTTAATGTGTAAAGGTTTACCTGGTCTCTCTGCTCCCTGAATGATTCTCCTGACTGTTTATCTCAAGGAAACTTATCCCTTGTATGAGTAGTATGTATGCACATGGCTTGCTTTCCCTCCTGAACTCTAAGGTTTGGAGGAAGAAAACCTTATCTTTCCCTTTATTGTACTCGCCGCTAGAAATTATGGTAAAGAAGACCCCTCAAACATTTACTGGATGAATCAATGTATTTTTCTAGGAATTTAGAAACCAATAAAAGAGTTTCTTAAAGCTAGTAATTTTCAATAAATACTACCTGACACTTCATTTCCACGTTATCAATAAAATACTGGGGTTCAGCAGATGTTATATACCTAAATGGTACATTAAAGGGGAATGAAATAATCATGTTTAGGTAGAAAGACCTTTGCTAGCAGTACGAATCTCAATATTATGCAATGACCATTTTAGTGTTTTAGCACATTTTATACCTAGTTCTTCTGTAGCCAATAAAATAATCTTAGCCCTTAATCTTTCTTTTAGTCCAGCTAGGTACATGTTATCATCAGAGAGATGATTTAGTGTCTTTCAGAAGAGAGAAGAGATAATAAATGAGCTGCGCTGTCCTCCTAACCACTAAAGATAAACCTCATAAAACCGGGAAGAGTGAGTTCATGCAGAGTATACATGGATTTTTCATCTCCTTTGCAACATTTTATAGCACTATTTTGTTGTTAATAGAGATCCCTAAAATAAATCCTGCTAAGAAATATTTGCCAGGAATATACTGACATAAGAAGAACACATGCTAGTGCCTGTTAAATAAAAAGTGGTTTGCTCACTGTGGGACAACTAGCTGGTTTTTTGTTTTGTTTTGTTTTTGGTACCAAGGATCAAACTCAGGACCTTGGACTTGTGAAGCAGGCTTCAGAACCACTGACCCAAATCCCTGGCCCAATAACTAGCTGTTTTAATATCCCACTACCTGATAGCTGATGTGTGAATAGATTCCCACACACTTCACAGTTTTTCTTGCTAGATGATTATTATCCATTTTTATTAAAGAAGGTATACGACAAATGTTCAAAAATCCTTAGTATTATTAGCTAAGTTCTTCAAGAAAATGTTTTTGTTATGAAAGTGGCCTTTCTGGTTATCTAACAGAATCGTGTTCATTCTTTTCCATCAACTCTCCCCAGCCCTGTATCTTGTGTCAAGTGATGGATCTCATTTATAATTTATGAATACATAAAAATAAATGATTCTTGTGTCCACATTTAAAAGTGAACATGTTATAAAATATTAGAGATTTTAATAAGACAAATACAATCATTGCAGTTCTTTTTTACAACTAAAATATTTACATTGTATCTAATACTTTTCTTCATTGGCTGATTAATTTATACCTGCACTTATGTTTCTTCTTTTCCATTTCAGTCCTCATATAGAATTCCTGAAACATATGTTCCCACTGAACGAGGAGCCCTGATGTTAGTTTACATTGCACAAATGATAACTGATAAGGAAATGAT